TTCTGGAAGTCGTGAAAATGACTTCACATTAGAGACTCATGCGTTTTTGATTTATTTCCCTTGTGCTACTCGTTTCACTGTAATCGATTTTTGTTCGAAGGTGCAGTAGTACGTTATTGTTTCGCGGTTGAATTGTTTTGCTAAAGCCTAGTTGTTGGAAGTTTAAGAACTCTTTTGTTAAAGCCCATTTGTTGGAGGTTTAAGATTCCTCTGTAACTCCAGTTACAATGTCTCGTTTTTACCCGACCGCTGCACAGTTGGTGGGTACTTCTAAAACTACCGTTTGACTATGCTTAGCGTTTGTTAAACAACGCTTTGCAGTTTATACTTTTGGTTGCCCTTTTTCCTGTTGTTTTTGATTTTGAAGAAAAATTCGGGCCTCTTGTGTAAACGTCGTTCGATGTGATTTAGGGAATTTAAAACTCGTCCATTAGTCTGAAGCAGCACTTCGTACTCCAGGAATTTACCCTTAGCAGTCTTCCCTTCCATTTGTACCAAGTTGTGTGTATATCAAGTGATATCTAGTGGTGACGGAAATTTACATGATTTTATATAACATTCAGCAAAGTTTGTATTGTCCGATTTCGATTGAGAACCTCGTAAACTGGTTATATCTGAATGTTTATTAATAAATAATACTGCATTGTTCATGGTTATGATATAAATTTACAAGCAAGATAGTGAGATATCATGAATTACCGGCTTAGAACCGATTTTATGGCTATATGCAATCGATATGTACATTTTCAATGGGGTTCAATGTTCTGCTAGGGAATCAGCTTTGATTGAATCATTGAATTGAGCAGTACGGTTTTATGCTGATGTTCCCGTCGTTCACTGTCCAGGGCAGCTTCTAATCGTTCAACCGTACGCCGCATCTCGTCAAGTTTTGCTTTCAATACTTTCACTTCGTCGACCTTATGACGCATTTGGGCCCTAGATAATTAATGATGATTGGTTGCCTGTGTAAAAGTCCAGAAATGAGCTCTGGCAAGCGTCTCCTTACCTGTACTGCCGAGCGTAAAGTCGTCGATGTCGACGTTTTTGGCTGTTCGGGTCGTCGTCGTCGGTAATGTCTTGCTGTGGTCGTCCTCGTCGTATTCTGGACGTGGTTCTGCAGCTTTCAGGTGAGGACACACGCTAAAATCGATCCGATTTTTTTGGGTCCGCTGATTCATGGGATGGGAATCTTTTCAGTAATGAGAATGTTGCAGTTATCTATCTAAATGATATGAATTCCGGACGGTCGACCAATTTTGATCCGACAAGTACTTCGTTCGTTCCCTAACATCACTGGCCCAAAATAACACCAAGGCTACTACGCCTGTTCCAATCCCTATTACGTTTTCATCAGAAGGCTTTTTTGGTAGCAGAGTACTACGATAAAAGGGCAAAGTAGTATCCACTTCTTTCCCTATGAATAAGTAAGTACTTATCTATTAAAAGAGCCATGTAAATACCGTGTGGATCGCAGCATTTCTCACTAGGGCTAGCGCAAACTTAGCACGGAAATTTGGTTTCTATCGTAACCCACCGGCGGCTTCCAACTCGAACGGGTGGTCGCGATGCATAAATCGTCCTCCGTGCTACCCGTGAGCCGCGTATACTTGCTCCAAAATCATTGTCGATACGTTATATATGTAACTGGCAAACTGTTTGTCCATTCGAGTGGGGTTATGACGTGGAAGGAAGTATATTGTCTGTGAAACCCTACGGAATTTTCGTGCCAAGGCCAGCAGACGCAGAGGTACATATCCCAGACATCTCAGCAAGGACAGAAATCAATCATTCACATTGGTAAGGAAAAATGCTTGCTTAGGCTAGAATTCGTGCAACCCCATGACTTCCCAAATTCAATACGTGATATTGATTGAGTAAAATTTCTTATAAACAGAAATACAGTATAGCTGTTCTTCCTTTCTACGAATGGTCATGTTCGCAACAAGCCTGGCTTATCCAAGTCGTATAAAAATTCCTTCTTCTATTGGATTTTGCTCAGTAATGTATTTCTTAGGGATGACCCTTCCTCAACTTGAACATCAGCTTTGTAAAAGTATATGGAAAATGTTGGGCGTTTCAGTAAGCTCAAGAGTAGTACTCACCTCTGGGAGGGAATTACCGGGTGTAGATTTACCCGACTCTGTTGTCTGGGAGCCATCTGTTGACTGTGAAAAGCATTCAGGCACGCTTTCCAACAGTTGAGGGAATTGTAACAAGGGTGTTGGTTGAGAACTGAAAAAAGGTTATTTTTCAAGGTTCCATGAAACAATGAAACTTAACAGTACATTTCCAAAACCTTAGCGGTTTTGGATGATTGAAAGCCTACCTGAATGTGGTTTGCGAGTTAGGTACTGGAATAAGCGTTTGATCAGTTGGAAACGATGAGAATAGAGAGAACAGGCATGGATTCCAAAATGGACCGGATGCCAGAAGGGGTGGACCAGCTAGCGGATATTCTGAAGTAAAGTACTATTCGATCAAGAGATGGCTAGTTATTCTTATACAAAAGCAATTAAGAGTAGTAAAACGACTCACGTAAAGTGGTTGGAGAGGAATTTGCAAACGTCGTAGGAAAAAGATGCAAAGCTGTGATGTCGTCCGATTTCATGTTAAGAAAATCAGATGACCAGCAGCAATATGGCTTGTGATATGCTCGTTCCCCCTTATAAACACTGATATGCACCGGAAGGAGCTGATAACGTTGGTAACTAGTAGGAGGCGGGCGGCACCGCAAAATGAAACAACAGCCAGGGGGAATTCACAAATTCCTTGTTTTGCCAGCTGTAACACGTGGACATACACTCGTATGTTTAGATATACCTTGGATTAATGGCTAATGGTTGGGAATGTACTTGGCATAGGTCAATTCCACAAATTCCAAAAGTTTACTTTGCCCTGGAACTTCATATGGTACGAACGGACCGGAATAGGAGCTCGGTCCCACATTGATGGCATGGAACATTCTATGTTACACAAAAAGGCATGGTTATCAGAACAAGCAGGTTTTGAGCTTTGTTCACTAGCTCCTTATATGTGAGTAAACAAAAGGTTCGAATTTTCGGATCATCTGGTAGCGTTCCTGAAAGAATACCGGGCTCGGACTGAAGAATCGGCTGCTGCTGTCAGTTTTCAAATCACAGATCAAAGTTTTCGTTTCTGAGTAGATACTTTTGCGTGTCCCACAGCTACATGGGAGTGAGGAGTGAGGGAAAAATCTCTGAGGGAACTCCCTTCCCACAAATTGTAAAAGAATCAGGGTAGCAGTTCTGCTTGAGTCATTACTTGTCACATGCAGGATCTAGAAGATTGAAGACCATCTACTGTAACCAAGTGCTCCATCTTTTCAGAGTCGTCTCTTCCATAGTAGGATTGGTGAAGCAGAAAAAAGAACCAGCTGAGTTTCGACTCACTGAATGGATGGGAAAATTCATCCTTCTATTTTCAATCCCTTTGCAGGTTCCACTCGGCACTTACTGTAAGTTTTCTATTAAGATTTTTCTGTTCTGCATTTTGCACACTGAGAAAGTTCTTCTTCTAATTGACTTGTGAAGCTGTTCTCGTCGTTTGACAATAACCGTGTCCCTGAACCAGCTGGAATCAATCGATGCAGAGGTGATGGAAAGTTCAGTTTGCACTAAAAGTTTTCAGTCGGCTGAGGTATGGAAGTGTGCATTCAGCCGTATATGTGTAACCTCTGACTCTTGCCCTAATTTAGCGCTTTCGTAATGAGAGCAAACAAAACTATTTATTAAAATGGCAAATAATAAATGTCATGTTATTTGTGGACATTTCTGATGGAATGAAACTGAAATGGAAATGAAAATATCTTTTTCCCCTGAAAACTCGTCAGTGACGAAAGCTGAGTGGCTGTGATACCATGAATTCTTTCTTTTAGTCCTTGTACCACTCACCACTCTCCTGCCACCAGGGTATTTGTAGAAGACCTACTGAAATTTCACAGAAAATTTAAATTTTTTTGGAACTTTTCTGAAGTTTGCATAGAAATTCTATAAAAGTGCACTACTCACTCATATGGGCATAAATATTGTTGAAATTTCATAATATGGCAGTCGGTTGACCAGGTCGAAATCTTCTTCGACCTTCCGTTTAGACTTTAGAAGTTTTGGAACGAGATGTGCCCGGAATCGCTCAGAAAGTGCCTCATAGGCGAAATGTTTGTCACAAGTTCCGATTGATTTCAGCAGCAGAATGGCCGAAGTCGAGGTCGTCATGAAGTACATGTCGAATATGGAATATTCAAGTCGAAAACTTCGGTCATTTTAGGTTGAAGCCGGTTGTGCGTATACGGGTGGGTGGAGGTCTTAGATAGCAATGTAACAGAATAATAAATGATAAGTAAAGTCTTTTGGCATTAATCAGTCCCCGTCTGAGGATTGCGCCCTCGCATTCGACTTCCATTCAGAATCGTAGTGACGGATTGAATGAGTATCTGGCCTCTACAATGACTTCCGGTGGCCAGCCGATGTATAAGTCAGTGCTTCTATGCTCCCAGATTAGTCTGGTGCTAATCAATTGACCCAGGAGGGATGGAAGGTCTAGTTGGCCCAGGCGGGTGTCAATCGAGGAATCGAACCCGTGACCGTGCGTGCGATGGAGTGCGCCACTTGCCACTACACCACCTCGTCCTGATGCGATAGAAACTCCTGGAAATTTCCAAAAAGGAATCTTCAGAATTTGAGATTTTTTTAAAAACCTGTTAGATTGAACCGAAATTAATCTGCTCATTTCTTTAGTATGATTAGCAGTTATCTAACCATTACATAATGTAGCCAAAATTCGTTATATTCGATAAAAATAGACGAATTTTCATACAGAGATAAAATGATTGATAAGAGCAGACGAATTGTTCTGCCCACAGAATGACAGCTCTTCGTTTTTGTTCGGTATGGCGAGATCCGGTATTGTCTTTGGAAAAGCTTCTTGGGATCAAGAAATCGGCCAATGGAATCTTTAGGACTACTGTATTTTTACAACTTCGCTCCTTTAAGATCCGACAAGCTTTATACAAGGCACTATCAGGTTCATGACTTCATTTGCTTGACAATTGGGAAGCCCCATCAGAGCCTCAATGAGTAGAACGTCGCGTAAAATTTGAGAATTACTAGATTTTTACGTGATTTTTTTTATCTGTCTACCTGTGTCCGCGGTTCAGGGCCTTGATAGATCAAACTGGTATCCATTTTTGTAGCCTACACTGACTTTTCTCGAGTTTACGACGGTCAGAAGTATGAACGGCTAAGGAGAGTCCATAAAAGTGTCCTTTTGTAAGGTGGTCACGAGACTGATTGCGAATGAGTTGACAGCGCGTGGAATTCAACTGATATAAAAGACGGGGAACGGATCATTCCAATGATGTCATGGTGAAGCTCCATTTGTGTAAACTGAGTAAAATCTTCTTTTCGATTATGATTCGTTGAAGCCGGCAACACAATGATAACGGGCTTCCTGTGATTTACCAGAGTGGACCTATGGAAGGAAGCACTCATTGGGACTGTGATTAGGCTGGAATCCTGTTGGAAGCATTTGTGACTTTTCTGGATTAGCCTATCGCAATGGTTTGATTCAGTGGATAGAATATGCTCTCTAAGGTGCTCTTAGTAACTCGAATTTTTTCCGGCCAATACTTCCTGTGTGGATAGGGGGAGGAGAATGGGTAGGGGATAGAGAGTTTGGGTATCGGCATGAAAGCTAAGGGGTTTTATGAGTGATTGGATAGCAAAATGTACTTTGCTTTTTGTCTATCATCTTTGAAGTACAACGAACTTCAAGTCAGTACGGCACCTGCGATCGTGTTATCTGGCACTTCCAGGCATATGTTCAATGAACCGGCTTGACTCAACAAATTTTACATCCGTAAATGACTACGTTGACATTTACGTAAGGCCTTGCACTTGATAGCGATATTTTATAGGTCGAAAATCTATCGCACAATACACGTGTGGTATGTTGGCTCACACATTGCAAATCGTGGGGCTGCCCTCGTGACCACGGGAATCTTCTGCACGGTGAACGACGTCTCACTACAGGACCAAGAATTTGACGCGGTCACTAATTCCTACCGTAATCCTACCGTAGCTTCCTCGGAAAAATGTCTGTTGGTAAAATAACACGTGTTTTTTGAACAATAGTAGTCTGACCATCCACGAGTTACGGTAGGGTTTTCAATCAGACTTGAACCTTGATCGTGGATCCCACCGAGCATCAATACGTCTCCATTCATCCTTTACGAAAGTTTTGTTATCCAGAGACTCTTCCTCTGTCAGATAGCGAACACGTTTTCATTTTGAGCTCTCATTATGAAATCTGACAATCGAACGACCTCCCCTTTGTTCTTTTGACGTCCTGGGGATCCACTTGATAACCGCACTGATTATGAAATCTATAGGTTAGTCACTCATCTGCGTGGGTGAAACTCCTTTGTTATTATGAATTTTTACGTAGAAATTGTCAAGCCATTTCGTAGGTGTTCTTAGTGACTCATTCTACACTTATCATGCTATTTCTCTGCAATGGCTGCTATTGTCCTCGTGACTGAAGCCCGAAAGATTGTTATCCCTACAGCAGTGGGGAACCTCGAAGGAGTTTCTCATGGGAAGTACCAGATCTTGAAAGTTAGTAAGCGCTAGGAGTGGTAATCGGACATGATCAGAATGCGCTGTAATTTGGCTAGGTAGGCAGGGAGAGCTGAAGAAGGGTACTTCTTCGCTACAGATTCCTCACTGTGACTGCTGAGTTAAGCTCCTATGGCCTGGGATTTGAGATGCGCTTTTAGAACTGCAATCTCTTTTCCGACCAATCGTGGGTACCAACAAACCTCTTCACACTTCCTCCTTACAACTTCCTTCCTTACAACCGAACTTTCTTGTTGCCAACCCATGTACGGTAGTGGAGAAATCGCTACCGAAAAGGAAAACACTGTGGTTGAATTCCTCCGTTTAGTTGTTTTAGGCGATAAGGAATGTGTCATCATGGTTGGTTTGCCCGTTATGAATTGGTTGTGAGTCACCAAAACGGTCAGTTAGGCGCCCCGAAGGTGCGTAGCCCTCACAGCAGTTGGCACCGGAATACTAGCAAAACATCAAGTTCAAGCCGTTATCAGCTCATAGACATACGAAGACGAAAAATACGACTGGAGCCATAGCGAAGGCTCCATGCTGGTGTGTGGCGACGATTTAATAGCCCTCGTTGAACCTGCCGGTCACGCTTGTCTGGCTGTTCAACAACTCGGACGACATTTAGAGGACTCCGACGTCCTCCTTCTATACATAAATAAATA